TTAAAACGTTTCAACAGTGTATGTCTGCCATTCCCGTCTAATTCTTTTTTTAATGACTTGATATAATAAGGATAATAATAATACAAATAATAAATGAATAAATGAAAGCGCCACAATGTTCACGCGCGTCTTGACGAAGCTCTGTGTTATAAGATACAGAAATTTGAAGCTTGTTAGACTTTACGTCATCCTTGAAGGAAACAAAGACGCCTTGGTTTACCCGCGTCATATCACAACAATGAAGTCTTCTTCCTCTCGAGTCAGTACACAAGCCCGGTCCTGTGGAGGACGCAGGATTTAGTGGTATCATTTTGCAACCATATCACCAGAAACCCATTTGATTTGCAATAAGGACAATACTCATTCCTATGGAAAAAAACAAAATCAGGTTTAACATTAGCATTCGGGAGATTAGAACCGTCTATTGCATCGGATGAATACTAAACTAATTTATCATTCACGTAGGCTTAATTTAGACAGTAAAGCCTTTAACAATTTCAACTTTAATTTCTTATTGTAGAGGAAGAAGGATTTGGTAGAACATTGCGCATCAATTTCTAAAACCGCCAACTCTACAACTGTGACTGCTGTATTTCGGTAACCAGAGTTGGGTAAAATTGTGGACAGCTTACGTAGAAGGGGGACATGTACGTTTGTTGGGTACATTTAAAGCCAATAGAAAGTAAATCTTTCCAAAGAGAAAACGAATGTTCCATTTTTTAAACCAAAAAATAGATCTTCCCTACTTGTTTTAGAGTGAAGGAAGTCGATCAGCAACAACATCATTTGCAGTTTATTCCATTCTAGCAAATTGCAAATGAGAAAACAAATCATTCTGAAATTGGCATTCTTACATGGAACAAAAGGTTTAAAAGGACAAAATATATATGTATACAAAGTACCTTTTGAATGTTAATAATATCATATTTCTTGCATTACTGATCATAGACATAAGAATACACAAGCCATATACCAATGTATAGGACATGAACTGAAGTCTGAGGACCTACAGTACAGTGCGTCCCAGAAAAAACGAAACCGAGAAGTATCGATGTTCTATCATAACTTAATCACAACTATAATTAATGAATGATACATATTTGGAAAGCTTAGAGTCTCCTCTTTCAGTTGCTACTCATGTGATGCATATTTCACGCATGAGTGATTAAAAGCAATTTGAAGGAAGGAAACCCAAAAGTAATTTGGCGGGCGGTATCTGAATTTGAAAGAAAAATTCATATCTCTAGAAAGTTCATTTTCTGCTCTTTCATATGATACCTCAATCAAGAAAAATGAGCCAGGAATAACAAAGTTCTGTTTGTTTAAAGTAGCCCTTACATTTTCATAATTTTAACAAACAAATTCATTTTCACTGGGTGCCTGCCGTAGCAAAAAGCAGATTTGACAAAAGACTTAACTCCGTTTCGTTGACAATCAGCCATGCATGAAGACTCTCGTCTACGGCTGATTGTCAACGAAACGGAGTTAAGTCTTTTGTTAATTTCGTTTATTGATACGGCAGGCAGCCAGTGAAAACGAATTCGTTTAATACAATTATGGAAATGCAAGCACTACTTTAAATAAACAGAATCTTGAATGACCGTCATCGAACATTCAAAAGCCACATATTCTATCTTCGTGTTTCTGAATTTGAATATAGCATTGATTATTAAAGTTCTTTTCGGGGTTCAATCCCTATTAGGTTCTGTAAATATAACTAATACCTTGTACCAACCAAAACACTAGTATTAACGTTTTGTAATATTTTACTCGTTTGTATATGTTAACTCCCTTATAGCGCATAGCGTGTATACTTGGAATGAATACGCTTGCAATGTTATCATGCCATTTTCTAGTTGCCATATTTCGTTTCTCACTGACGATGTATCGATCAAAGGAATTGATGACTTTACAATTTTGTTTAAATTCATCAAGATGCATTGCAACATTTAGAAGGATATCCTGTATTGTATATATATTAAAATTATTCTTCCATTCGCACATAGTACAGGAAGCTGCAGTTTCAATGTGAAGTTGTATTGTCATAAGGTAACATATTACAAAGACTAACATGGCTATATTTGTTAATGTTGTTCAAATCAAACCATCACATTTTCTATATATTTCATGAAGATGTCAAAGCATTCCTATATTATCTACGGTTTTTCCCTTCTTTTTATATGACTGGCCTATATGTTTAGTAGCTTCTCTTCACGTGTCTTGTTTTATAAGTGTTGTCTAGTGCTCTAGTAATTCTGCAGTCCGGTGAAATACAACGCTCCTTTTTGTCGAATGTTACAAGAAAACAGTTCTTAAAACAATAAAGTTGTGAGAGATGAAATAACATGTATGCATGTTTCGAGATTTGTTGGATACATTATTCTAAATTTTTACCGGCCTACTACGTAGGGACTGCATGTTTATTGTTGCTTTTACTGTTTGAAGAAAAAATGTAAAAGATAGGGTTATTTGGAGGTGCCTTTTAAGTCTAATTATCATTCAGAGTGGCACAGAAAGAAAGAAACACCTGAGATCTGCAGTTTTCAACAACCTAGTTGACACAGAGTCATTTGTTTGTAATTGTAGAGTAGAAACGTCATGTCCAGATAAATTGACAACAGGATCATTAATATTGGGCTATGATTATGTAGTAGTTATGCTTTCTTCCAATAGTATTACAATTACGTAGCACAGACTATCATATTAAAATTGCGAAAACACCCACACTTTCTCAATAGTCGAACCTCTATTTGGATAATTTAAAATATAACACGATATATATAAAAAAAAAAAAAAAAAAAAACTCCTCTAGGTAAATATTTCTAAGTGACCTTTTAAAATGATGTTTATTATGCACATGTATGTTTGCGACTGGTTTTAAATATACTGATGTGAATGCAAATAAGTACGTAGCTGTGATTAGAATATTGAAAATGTGAATTGTCAGGTATAAAATGGCTAATTTCATGTTCGCGAAAAAATATAAGATTTTCTTCGTGACATTTGTTTCATTCACAAAAGGAACACTTAAGGGATAGTGACCGATTTATCAGAAGTAAAATATGTAAGATTATAGATACAACACGTATATGTAAAGTGCCAAGTTATATGACATGATTAGATGTGTTTATAGACATCAATCATATTCATGTATATTTTTAGAGCTTTAACATTTCTTTTTAACATTTCATTTATTTTCCACTTCTCATAAAAAACATATAACAATTTACATACAATATCTGATTAAATACAACAAAACAAAACAAGAAAATAACATAACAATATTAAAAGAATTTTAAGCACCTAGAACTTATACTTGAGAACGTGGAGGAGCCAACAAAGGCCATTGACCTGTCAAGGGCTGGTCTCCAGGAATAAATTAAAAATATATTGGTAGGTAAAGAACATAATTTAGTACATAACAAAAGGGAAACAGGCGGTCTGTGTGATGGAAAAGTATACACAAAGAATATATGAGCATAAATAATTCAGGTGGTGTAGTAATTATTTTAAAAAGATCAACATATTTTAACATTTCAAAAGACATTGTTTGTATTTGCCTTTGAAAGAGGCAGGCGAAATGTTAAGAAATGTTAAAAAAAAAACTAATTATAAAACAGGTGTAAGAAAAAAAACAGTAGAACAGCTTTGGAAACTCCCGTGGAAATAAATACAATGCTACAAAAATGAGAGAATAGAACGTCATCTGGTGTATGTGGCTTGTCATTGTTCAAAATTCACCCTGCCGTCAACACAATTTTGTATCAATGAGCGAATGTTGAGAACTAGTCAATCCGTCGGTCAATTGAATTTGGCGTTGCAGCAGTCACTACCCCGTCTCATTGGCCAAGTGGTTAAGGCAATGGAGTTTTAAACTAAATACCCAGGTTCGATTCCATCAGAGACATTGGCCCGAATTCACAAAGGAGGTTTGTCGACAAACCGAGGTTTATGTACGTCATATGACGCGTTTTGACGCGTTTTTTTTACAAACCTGGTTTGTAAAAAACAAAAGGAGGTTTGTCGAAACAAAAGGAGGTTTGTCGACAAACCTCCTTTGTGAATTCGGGCCATTATGTCAACCTATAAAAACAAATCCGGAAAGGAAGCACAGCAATTGGGAATTTTCATTTAAGCGGGACTGCACTACTTGTAGCTACTTGCGCCCTCTATATATCAAATGTAGCTATATGTTTATTGAGAGCTGATTTGATGACATTAAAACCTGTCAGTGACCACGCAGGGAGGTCTAATCGCCCTGGCCAAAATAGTACAGCCCGGCTTACAGGTACTATGTCCCATTTGCAGGCTAAAACAATGAAAAAGTTAAATTCCAACTGCATTCAGTTTGAAAGATAAAACTAATTTAAAACTTCCCTAAAAAAGGTGGGGCTTGAAAATGTCTTCAAGTGTGAAAATAACGACTATTAGTTGTCAAATCGACTTTAGGGCTATAGAGCCCAAAAGTAATAGTCTTGATTTTCAGACAATTGTACCGAATGGTCATACGTTTTATGCTGCGCAAAGATTCAATCAGTTTAATCTTGACCATCACAAGAAGTGGGTTATTGATGTAGACAAATGCTCATGTACCCTTTACAACTCTTTTCATGTATCTTATTACCAAAGAAGAAAAAAAGCCAGTCAGTCACTCAATAGTGTCTGACAATGAAGTCTAGCAAGTAAACGGATTTCCTTGCATAATTTGAATATGAGGACACTGCTAACGTTTAAATTTCACAGATAGGACATACATGACATATTCATAATTCCTGCAAAGTTCTACAGAATTTGAGGTTGGCTGCAAAAGGGACATAGTACCTTTAAGCTACGCAACCACTACTCTCTCATTTCCTTTGGCATTTCGACATGTAAATATATTATATACATTATGTATACACAGTATTTAATATAAATAACCAACTATGAAAATCATCAAATTAACAAACTAGGGTTAGAAGTCTGGTAGGCTACTCATATATGATTCTGCCCACGTCTAAATGGCGTGGCACCCAAACGTACACCACCCCCTCTTCCGACTGGATGTCTCGAAAGGTTGAGTTGAGTGTGTTCTGTGCAATTAAGGTAAAGACCAGTTTTGGAATGCCCCCGTCTCAAAAAATGAAATGGAAGCTTTTATTACCAATCATGTGAAAGAATATGTTTTGGCTAATACATGATGATACAAATTTTGCCGGGAAACCGCCTACTAATTGATATATTTGGTAAATTATTATATCTATGAGGATTGGATAGATATCGCGTAGTCCCATATACATCTCTCTGTGTACAGTGCTTGTAACTTTACCAAGACTGGGCCAAATTTCTTATCATTTTGATGATTCCAGGACCTTGCAGTACACATCATGATCAATACTTATATGATATAGATGATCAACCTTTTCTGATTGATTCCACACCGTTTCTTTCACAATGCAATCACATGACCAGAACTGGTCTATACCTTTAATGGGGAGGGGGATACCCTTAACAGAATTCACACGGGTATATATTTGCTTCTGGGTTGTCTCGGATGGGTGACACCACGGCTATAATAGGGACTTTTAGATTTGCGTAGACTGATACGTGTGACGTCCATTCAAGGCAGCGCATCAAAAGTACGTCGATCGTAGCAATCCACGTTTTCGTTCGGCAAATCTAAAAGTCCCTATTACCTTTGCGAGACAACCGGAGGGCGGGGATGGGGTAGTGGTATATGCCTTTTATCGATTGTCTAAATCAACGTGAAACCCCTTTCACGTAAGGAGTACATGTCTTTATTTATTCCTTGAAATGCTAGAGCGCCGTATGGCAGCCGTGCTAAAGCCAGGGTAATAATCGGGAGCGCCAGGAGGGTCAAATCTGACTGACATGAGCGCTATACAAGAACCCACTATTATTATTATTATTATTTATCCAACGGTTGCCAGGTTATCAAGGAAACCCTGGCCCAATCTCGAAGAAAAAAGTCAATCAAAAATCACTTTAAAACTGTAAGCGGGTGTGTTACATTCAAAATCACAATGAAAATCCCCCCCCCCAAAAAAAAAAAACTTACACGTATTGGTAACCTTTCATCGTTGTTGAAAATTGGTCGAGAACACAGACTTATAATCTTATCACCTATGCCTTGGTCACCGTCAAACATTAGGGACTTTTAGATGTGTACGTCGACATAGTGGACTGCTACGTGTGACGTCCTTTTAAGGCACTGGCAGTGCATTAAAAGGACGTCATGGTGCCTTTAAATGGTTACACATGTAGCAGTCCACTATAAAGTCGACGTGCACATCTAAAAGTCCCTATTAATGTCTCTTAATGATTGCACTGGCTCTACTCCGTTCAGTCTTTCAAATTTGAGAGACAGGAATATTATCTTTACCGTACCATTTAGCCCAGACATTGTAAAATGTCTTTTACAAGTGTACCTTTTTATCTCTCAAACGTTCTTATATGTAATGGTATCTTTGCCTTTTGAGCATTGTTTCTTTGTTTGCTTTGTTTGTTTTTATTTCCGAAATCGATTTATACATACAAGTTTTAAAAACATACATATAAAACACATTTCAAATGATAGGTAAGTAATTAAATGTATACAGTATAGACAAACGATTGGCTAGCCCATTTCAGGACCATTTTCAAAATTGTCCTGTTCTTCCATTAGGTCCCAAAGCATAACATCATATTAAAGGGATTGGGTAACTTTGTCTCACATTCTGAAACAAAATCCTGGATTTAGCTCATGCTGCAATGATAATTATAAACCTTTAGGTTAGTCAGGAACCCCATGACTTTTACAAGACGATCCCCTGTCTGAATATCAAGATATTTATGATTGGAAATCGAAATCAAATGTTGCGTTTTCCTAACGTCTTTCATCACACTACAGTCTATTGGGGAAAACGATTTTGAGGCACTTCATGATAATCTGTTTAGGGCTTCAATATAACACCATATCAAAGACACTGATAACACGTAGGGCCATGCATCCCGGATTAAACATTGTTAAACGCTGCCTTTAATTCAAATACAATATCAATTTTCAAGCAAATTAATCTATCAATACACTACTCCCCGTATTGATAACACCTCATCTCACCACTTTCTCGATACCACCAACCCCTTCCACTACCCCCTACCAAGTCCTCCAGGGAATATTACAAAGAACAATAAACAGAATACAATATATCAGGTAAAACCATTTTCTTCTCGAAATGATAGAGTTCAATACTCTGTTTGGCTAGTTGTAAAGAGATAAGGCAGGAAGCCTCTTTTACTTCGTGAGTCCATATTTAAAGATAAACTTTAGTACTGGTAATGCGATTGCATTGTGAAAGAAAAGGTGTGGAAAGGATCAGAGACAGTTGATCATGTAGCATGTAAGGTTGTGGAGTCATCAAAATCACAATAAATTTGACCGAGTCTTGGTATGGTAACAAACACTGTACATAGAAAGCTATATATGGGACAACACACATGGTGTCGGGGCTAGTACTACCTTGATTTCCTTGTCTTTCTATGCTCATTACTCAGCCAGTATACATTTTCTCCCAAAATTGTTTGGCACATGTCATTTATTTGTAATCTTGAACATTCAGTGTAAGTTTCGTTTGATTCTGTGAATATTAATTATTATTTTTTACCAGAACTGGAGTTTATCTTTAACAAAGAAGTTATAATTCATGGAGTGTACACATACACAATGGTATCCACTTTAGAATTGATGCGGTGCCAAAAACAGGCGCCACATTATCAAAAAGGGGAATCCCCCCGAAAATTAACTCTAAGAATACCAGGCAAGATAATGTATAGGGTTTACGTGCAGGGTCTGTTTAGAAGAGCTTTAATGGCACAGTGTGGGTTAACATTACGAAATTGTGCGTGAAATTACATCCAATCATGCAAAAATACTCTATTGATCTAGAGTAGACTTGGAACGTGTTTTGCACTCTTTCCAAACAATGTACATATCTTCCTTTCATGAAGGAATGATAGATAACAAAATACGATAACCCTTTACTGAGATGCAACATACGTCATGTAAGCGAGAAATAATCCAGTTCTGCTATCTTCGGTATTTGACAAAAGGAAAAGGCGTGTGTAATTCTCAACAGGTAAAGAAGTACTAGCAAAAGTCCTTAATTACTACAAAACCTAGCAGTGTTCAGCACAAAGCTTTCCCAAAATGAAAGTATGTAACCGTTCTGACCGTGAAGCAGAAGAAGCTGACTAATGCAATAGTTTTTAATGTGGGTAAAAATTGTCCCTGAATTTACGAAAATCTCTATTTCATGTAAGGATTGTATGACGTACAGTTTTAATCGAGGTTTTTTACTTTTCTCGAATGTCTTCGTCAACGCCACAACCTTTCCATATTAGCCTACATAATATCTCTATCCAGCGGTTTTGAGGGTATTAGGAGATTATTGTCACTATAACAGTTAATTTTAGAAATTTATCGTCCAATCTCACAGTATAAAGGGTCAATACAAATAGTTGTAAAACTGAAGGTGGTCGTTTTACATTCAAGATCACATTACTTATTCCTCCCCTCCCCTCCACTCACACACACACACACACACACGCACACACACACACGCTCACAAACGTACTGTATGGGTAGCCTTTCATCGTTGTTGACAATTAATTGAGAACACAGTCCTATAATCTTATCATCTATACTTTGGTCACTGTCAAACCGCGTTTATGTATATTCATAGTTATACTGGCTCTAACCTGTTTCAATTACCAAGTTGTTGAGCGAGTTCACGTAAAGAGCCAAACATTGTGGCCCGAATTCACAAAGGAGGTTTGACGACAAACCTCCTTTGTGAATTCGGGGCTGTACCTTTACCGTACCATAGCCAGTCATTGTAAAATCTCTTTCACAAGAGCTGCTTTTTATCGCTCCATTTTTCTTATTCATAGTGGTATTAATGCCTTTGGTTGAGCATATAGAATTTAAAATCCTTTAGCGTTTGATTCACCCCTCTCGACATTTTATTTCACTTTAATATAACGACATTTTTTGATCTCTTGAAACGATAGAGTTCAATTCTTCGTTCGGCCAGTTGTGCATAGATAAGCCATGGAGTCTCTTTTACTTTGTGAATTCTATTTGTCACAAACTAAATAACAAAGAGGATATTATGGATGGAGTGCACACATGCACAATGGTATGCCCCTCGGTTATTGAAGCGATGTCACAAACGGCAATAGTTTTTAATGTGGTTATGAATTAAGTGTCCATGAATTTTCAAACTCGTCTGTATTGTATGAATTACAACATTTAAGCGAGGCAATGTCGTCTTAACCTCAATGTCATCTCATATGGAATTATTTCTGCTCCATAGCTGAAAGAAGCCTGCAATGGGTGCAGACGTCAAATTATATTGATAAGAAAGCAAATATTCAATACATGAAATAATTTCTTTCTTCAAATGTACTCTATTTTATCGTGTCTCCCAAACGTCGAAGATATACAATGGCACATTGGAAGTGTTTTATGGGTCAGGCTATTCCATGATCAATGGAAACAAGAAATGCGTTTATGAGTTTTGATTTTTCTTGGAATCTTCCCACTAAATACAAAGTCCCAAATCTTCTTTTCCTTTCCGTCCGAGGAGAAAGAGGAGGGTGCGTTTTGATTCCCTCTTGGAATCATATTCAATACAATTCCGTCTCTTTCCTCGCTTTCTCTATTCGATGTTTAACTCTGCATCGCGGTAAATATTGATACATATTGACAAATTCATGTGTACCTCAATCCGGCAAAGAAGGTTAATGTTTTGAGAAAAGCCTTCTAGGCGGCCTAAACTGGGACTGAGAATAAATGCCTTACTTAAGGGCACGTCTACACCGCGTTGACTTCTTTTTAACAGGGACTTCCATAAAGAAGACATGTGCCCTCCATGTGCTGCAATGCAACGGATAAATACTGTTGACTTGAAATAATTCACCATCATTTTTTCTTCAACTCCATTACCGTGACGGCCATAACCATTTAAATACTGTACGCTCCACAATCGTCGTCGTACATATCACATTAGGGACTTTTAGATTTGCGTGGACTGATACGTATGACGTCCATTCAAGGCAGTACATTAAAAGGACGTCGATCGTAGCAATCCCCATTGTCTTCGTGCGAATCTAAAAGTCCCTAATATCAGTCCGATATCGGTCGGACATTCACCGCATTACCATTACCAACCATACTTAGTGCCATAATCAGCGTCAATATATTAGGCGGCAAATATATGCTTCTTTACTACGAGTATTGTGCCATGAAACATGTAAAGTATGGACTGTTTCTCCTTCATTGGGCTTGACGATATCCCTTCTTGAAAAAAAAAAATCTCTTCGTAGTTTCATGTGAATGTATGTCTCCTTGAAAAAGACGAAGAGAACAAAAGTTTCCAGGGAAGAGGTTTGTTTAAAAAATGCACTCGTTTTATATTTATCGAAATGTTGATGATTGACAAGGAATAGAAAAACAAAAGAGGCGAGAGCAAGGCTAACAGTGGAATAGGAATTACAGACATTCAAATTACGATTTAGTTCACTGCACAGGACTTTGGATCTTGTTGAAAACGATAAAAATAACAACTGCAAATTGTGTAAAAACCCAATACACACCTAGAACCCCCCAGTGTGTTGTATGATTATGCTTGAAACATGCAGAATGCAACGGGACTATCTGCTACCAAAGTAGAATGCGAGCGTTAAAAGAGAAGAAGATCATCACAAGGAACTATGCTAGATTAGGATGTTTTGTAAACTTGTGCTTCTTCGAGTATGAAGGACATAATTCAACGGCTTCATGAGGCAGGATTAAGGGGTAACACCAAAAGCGTCACAAATCTGCTAAAAAAGGGTTATAACATAATAAACCGGACATACAAAGATGAAAACAAACGTTTACATAATGCAGTGAAGAAAGACCATAGAACCGTCATTGAGTATCCCATAACCCAAGGTGGTGCGATAGAGAAGGGAGATAACGATGAATGGGCAGCATTAGCAAGTGCTGCTAAGAATGGCCATCTTGATGTCACCAAAAATCTGATTAGTCGAGGAGCTGAGGTGAACCAGGGAGATAATGACGGTGAGACTGCATTGCACAGTGCTGCTGAGAATGGTCATCTTGATACCACCCAATATCTGGTTAGTCAAGGAGCTGAGGTGAATGGAGGAGATAATGACGGTGAGACTGCATTACACAGTGCTGCTCACAATGGTCATCTTGATGTCACCCAATATCTGATCGGTCAAGGAGCTGAGGTGAACCAGGGAAACAATGACGGTTTTACTGCATTACACTTTGCGGCTTTCAATGGTCATCTTAATGTCACCCAATATCTGATCGGTCAAGGAGCTGAGGTGAACCAGGGCAATGACGGTTTTACTGCATTACACTTTGCGGCTTTCAATGGTCATCTTAATGTCACACAATATCTGGTCAGTCAAGGAGCTGATGTGAACCAGGGAATCATTGACGGTGAGACTGCATTACACTTTGCGGCTTTCAATGGTCATCTTAATGTCACACAATATCTGGTCAGTCAAGGAGCTGATGTGAACCAGGGAAACATTGACGGTTTTACTGCATTACACTTTGCTGCTCTGAATGGTCATCTTAATGTCACACAAAATCTGGTCAGTCAAGGAGCTGATGTGAACCAGGGAAACAATGACGGTGTGACTGCATTACACATTGCTGCTCTGAATGGTCATCTTGATGTCGCCAAATATCTGATCGGTCAAGGAGCTGAGGTGAACCAGGGAAACAACGACGGTGTGACTGCATTACGCATTGCTGCTCAGGAGGGTCATCTTGATATCACCCAATATCTGATCAGTCGAGGAGCTGAGGTGAACCAGGGAAACAATGACGGTGAGACTGCATTGCACAGTGCTGCTGAGAATGGTCATCTTGATACCACCCAATATCTGATCAGTCAAGGAGCTAATGTGAACCAGGGAGACAATGACGGTGTGACTGCATTACACAGTGCTGCTCACAATGGTCATCTTGATACCATCCAATATCTGATCAGTCAAGGAGCTGAAGTGAATGAAGGAAACAATGACGGTGGCACTGCATTACACGGTGCTACTCAGAATGGTCATCTTGATACCACCCAATATCTGATCAGTCAAGGAGCTGAGGTGAACAAGGGAAAGGAGGATGGTTGGACTGCATTACACAGTGCTGCTCAGAATGGTCATATAGATACCACCCAATATCTGATCAGTCAAGGAGCTGATGTGAACCAGGGAACCAATGACGGTGGCACTGCATTACACGGTGCTGCTGCCAATGGTCATCTTGATGTCACCCAATATCTGATCAGTCAAGGAGCTGAGGTGAATGAAGGAGATTTTGACGATGCGACTGCATTACACTTGGCTGCTCTGAATGGTCATCTTAATGTCACACAATATCTGATCAGTCAAGGAGCTGAGGTGAACGAGGGAAACAGTGACGGTGGCACTGCATTACACGGTGCTGCTCGGAATGGTCATCTTGATACCACCCAATATCTGATCAGTCAAGGAGCTGAGGTGAACGAGGGAAACAATGACGGTGGCACTGCATTACACGGTGCTGCTCGGAATGGTCATCTTGATACCACCCAATATCTGATCAGTCAAGGAGCTGAGGTGAATGAAGGAGATTTTGACGATGCGACTGCATTACACTTGGCTGCTCTGAATGGTCATCTTAATGTCACCCAATATCTGGTCAGTCAAGGAGCTGAGGTGAATCAGGGAGATAATGACGGTGTGACTGCATTACACAGGGCTACTCAGAATGGTCATCTTGATACCACCCAATATCTGATCAGTCAAGGAGCTGACGTGAACAAGGGAAAGGAGGATGGTTGGACTGCATTACACAGTGCTGCTGAGAATGGGCATCTCGATGTCATTAAACATCTCATCAGCCAAGGAGCTGAGGTAAATAAGGGAGATAATAACGGTATGTTGGCCTTACACAGTGCTGCTCACCGTTGTCACCTTGAAGTCACCAAGCATCTCATCAGTCAAGGAGCTGAAGTGAATAGGGGAGATAATGACGGTATATCTGCATTACACTTCGCTGCTGATGAGGGTCATCTTGATGTCACTAAATATCTCATCAGTCAAGGAGCTGAAGTGAATAAGGGAAATAATGATGGTATGACCCCTCTACACCATGCTGTTCAGAATGGGAACCTTGATGTCGTTAAAGTCCTTCTGGCAGGAGGAGCACTCTCTGACACGGGAGACATTAATGGGCACACACCTCTACAATTGTCTTCATTCCTCGGGTACCAAAGCATCGCTGATCTCTTTATGGACCGTTTAAATTCCAAGGTAAAAATAATTAAAAAACACTTGATGTAGGAGTTTTCTTCCTTGATGTATTCAATACATGCATGTATAATAACAAGTACTGAAATTCAATTAAGTAAATATTAGGCATAGGCTACCTATCATTTTATTTTCAGATTTGACCAATTCGATTTTGTATCACCAATACGTACTTATATCACCAGTTATACTCCAATGCTGTTTTTTTAAATATTTTACAGACAAGTTACAATGTGTGCTTAAAACGTATTCGAAATATTTGGTTGAATTGATCACATGGTAGTACTTATGTTTACAGTAAATTGGCTTTCCTAGCATAACAAAAATCAATCTCAAGTTTTCATGCTTCGTATTGTCTTATATCCAGCTCGCCCAGAATAATTTAACTGATATCCATCTTGCCATACAACATGGTCACACGACCATCATTGAGAAGTTAGTTTCTGAGGGAGCTGATCTCAATGTCCAGTCAACTGACGGCCAGACGAGTCTGCATGAAGCCATTAAACTCTGCTATAAGAGCGTGAACATTGTGCAAAATACTGACACTCTGAGAAAGGTGAGTCATACTCCAAAAACTGAAATAATTGGTAGAACGCTCATCTCTATTCACATTCACATATCGACGTGGGCCGTCAAACGCGCTGGGGATATGCTCGAGTGCACATGCCGCCACATTGCTTAGTCCCGTCTTTTAAGCTATCAAACCCCATACCAGTTGACCAAGCGCATATTGACACAGTTCAATTCTATTTCGACCTTCTCAAAATGCCATCATCTTAGATTCCCTTTCAATTTTGAAGAAGGCTGTCATGTTTCAATTAATGATGTGTGTTTAATGATGTGTGTTATCTTATAGCATACGAGATACAAAAAGTAGAATTTTAGTTCTCTTTCAAGACCAAAATTTTTTTTTTTTAAAGAAGAAATTCTTCAGACATCCTCTTTCAAGCTTTTTTGTTAGTGGAAAATTATTTATTTATTTACTTTAAAAAGGGTTTATTGATAAGAAATATTATATTGACTGCTTTTAGAGGCATTGCTGTTTCTGTAGGCTCAAATTACCCGCGGCGCGCCGAGGGGTCTTGGCAGGATGCAACGTCCCCGAGAGCCAGTATAAAAACAGACCTGTCTCGGATATCAAAGCAGTCCATATACCTTTTATATACCGAATTTATATTTTAAAAAATCTACACAGAATTCTTAAATCTGTGACATTGTCTGTTAATCTTCGTTAGAAAGTTGCTTGAATGTTACGATCATTCGGGAATCGCACACACTAAGCGACCAAACGAAAAGAGGCACACATTGTATGTATCCAACCTCGCACACACTTTTTACACGTGAACCTATGGGGATCTCAGCAACATTTAACGTTTCCGCCCCCGTTGGGCATATTTTAAAACACTATTGACCGTTAGGCGGGTATGGCTAAAATTACGACTCCAATATCGACCAATCAGATGGCTAGATTTCTAAAGAGAGGTTTATCGATAAGAATATGTTTTAAAACGATTAAACAGATATGAAAATATTAAGATCACAATAACGACATTTTACTAAACAATTGTAGGAATTACGTCGTTTGAAAATACGCGGATTACAATATTTTAAATAGATTGAATTCACCCCACAGAGAGAATAAAAATTGAGAGAGAAAGAGAGAGAGAGAGAGAAAAGGGATATGTTGAGAAGTAGAGATTGATAGATTTAAAGAACAAATTAGAAAGAGAGGGTAACGAGAGAAGACAACGGGAAATAAAAGAAGAGGCAAATGAGAAAGAAGGAGGGAAATAAGAATTAAAAGAAAGGGAGAAAGAATGGATAGAGTAGTAGAAGAGACTATTAATATCTATAATAATAACTATAATTTCGAACACGTATGAGCCTTCTACGTATCCTTTTAGTTCTGTGGTCATACCCTACTAACACCAACGAGATTAACACCAGACCGGTGAGAGTCTAAACAAGAAATTAACATTACGGCCAAATATCGGTCAGTTCTGGAGTCAACATGGAGTCGTTTTGGCAGAGTCACTGACTTATACTGCTCTTCTAGGTTATACGTGACTCCAGGAATCTGATACTCGTAATTGGCCCGAGAAATATGTATGTCAGTGTTTGGGCGAATGTGTGTGTATGTTGGGAAATTTACAACGAAAATAGTGATTTCCACTGCTTTAATTCCAAGAGGCATCGTTAAACTATGTGTATGATGCTTATCCAACCTAACTATTGATAGACGATACTGTTCTAATAAAAGAAATGAATATATATGTTTGTATGTTTCAGATCTCTGATGATTTTTTCAAAGGCGAACTATCTCCTGAGAAGGCCTTGGTGTTTTATCTTCTAGAGAATGGAGCCAAGTTAGACGTGAAGGATGGGACAGGCAAGCTACCAATCCAATATGCCAAGGACGAAGTGATCAAACAAATGATTTTGTCTAGGTGATTCTTTCAGGTCTAAGAAAATGACATTGTCCTAATCAGCCATGTTACTGAAGACCAGGGATTTATCAAAACGCAAATAAATAATTCGTATTTCCATTTTGCTCCTTTAAAATTAGGTAACGGAATGACATTCTCAAAATGGAAAAGTCCACTAAGTGTTATTGTAAATCTTAAAAATTGATCATATCGTGTTTGTGTTGTTCGGACAATAAAATAAAAGTGTACATTATGCGACAAATGTGAAGATTTGGAATACATATCATCATAAAAATTGCTATTAGAACTGTTATTTAATCAGTTAAGTAGCAGCTACATGTAAACAACAATAGCATTTGATTCATTGTAACGTGTTTATCTGAAACGGAGTCTTGGGTTTTCTCAAATTGAAAGATAATTCGCTACACGTTAATGTGTACATTGTACATGACCTTCAACGTTAATTAAATTTCCAGTTAACAATTGAATTAGTTTTGTCATCATTGAAATATGTGAAAAATTAATTTGTCCCGATGAATGTTTCTTGAGAATATGACATAATAAAGCTTACATCTACTAAGTATTTAACAAATCCCCCAATTCAACCAGTCCTCTTTCTCATTCTTAAGTAACGAAAAAAACACCAAATACATCAAATTTACAAGAGATATGAATAACCTGGTGGTTAACTGTATTTCATTTCATTTTCATTTTTATTTTTTCATTTTCCAAAAAATACAATATATAATAACGAATACAATGTAAAATGTATACAAAACATAGTTACATTTGTAATGAACTAATCTTAATAGTAATTTATACATTTGAGGAAGACATAAATTGAAATTTTAAATTTAACTGCATTTAAATTTTGAGGAAATGGAGAGGTCCACTGAAAAGCAGAACTTGTAAATTGTGGACCCCTCAGATAATAATGAGTGTGAAAAGGGTATGGAATACATAATCAATTATGTATAATGTTTGTTTATTTGTATTTTTCTAACAGAGAAACTACGGAGGCCGAGAAGAACGATTTTGACAATCTTCCGGAAAAGGCGCAAAGTGACGCCGGAACAGACAGTGTAGAGCCAATAGACCACGCCTTAGGTGAGATACGTTTTATACATCTGAGGCAGGCGAATGTCTTTATGCACGAACACATAGGTATATTCACCTCCAGAGTAAGAATTTGGCGATTCACTTTATTTTGATAAAGATCTGAGGTCATGAAGTATGGAAACTTACCAAACTTTGTTCAAGTGTTCTTTATGAATAATCGTTCATGTAGATCATCGTTTGGGTGAGGTTATGTTCTATGGTAGTATGGTCAGCAGTGATGATAATGATCCTGATTATAAAAAAAAGCATAAATCGTCCTTGTTTTCACGAAGTGACGGTAGTGAGGAAAATCGTCACGCAAAGTGAATGCAATTTTTTTCACTACCGTCACTTCGTGAAAACAGCGACGAAATATCTTATAAATGATATGGGATGTTCTTCACTGTGTGGTTTGTGTCAAGTAACTCGAGTCCTTAATATTACCTTTTTCCATTTCCAAAATGCAGGTAGATTGACAGGACTAGAT